CTGGTTCTATGGGGAAGACATCGCCGGCCGGAAGCCTCCCCCGAGCGACACCACCTTGCTGTTTGCAGAGCGCAATGCATGGCGCAAGATCCACGAGATGGTGCACCAGGGCACCACTCTCTCCGATGCCCCCAAGAATATCAGGGGCGACTTCCTCTTCTGGCAACGGCGGGAGGTCTATGAGCACCTCAACAGGGCGCCGGAGAAGGGGAAGAGCAAGGGCAAGGCACCCAAGATGTGGCAGACTCAGTGGGAGAAGCCCAAGAAGGGGGGGAAAGGCTCCTGGCCCTCGGGGCCGACCCGGTCCAAGCCGAAGGGCAAGGGCGGCAAGGGGAAGTCCCCCAACACCCCCTCGGTTCCATGGCCGGACCACTGGGCTTTCAAGAATCCCAAAGGGGTGGCGTACTGCAGAGATCATCACCTCCACAACAAGTGTTCGGGATCATGCGGCCGATGCCCCCCCATCGAAGCATGTGCCACAGGCATGCCCTCACCTTCCCAAGTGACAGGAGGCCACTCAGGGTGCCATAGGCCCCGTGGCTTCCCGGTCTCAGTTGGGACCACAGGCCACCAGTGCGAGAGTGCACACAGAGGGGGAGAGCCAACCAGAGCCACAGCGGAAGGCAGACAGAGCGGGGGAGGCCAGGACGGCCTCAGATGGGAGGGGACTTCTCCAGGGTGCCACCGGCCCCGGAAGCCCCTCCACCGAGGAAGAGGAGCGGTCCCAGTCAGGGCACTCCAGAAGGGCGGAAGCATCCCTTTCCCCCGCACCCACCGAGGCAGTGGGAAGACCCCCCAGAGAGACCCAGAGGTGAGGATCCGCCCGGCAAGGGGCGTTCCAAGGGCGGGAAGAACCGCCAAGGCAGGGACAGATGACGGGAGGGTCAGACAAAGGACACACGGAATCCCTAGGGGGGGCAAGCCCCACCTTCCCATATATGCAGGACATCCCGGAAAGACTGAGGCTCAGACTGAGGTGGACGCCACGGCCGGTGCCGGAGTCGTCAAAGCCGTCCCTCATCCTGCTGTACGCTGGGAAGGATGATGCGGGGGCCCTGGATGCTTACCTCCATGCCTACAACCCGGCCTTCTCGGAGTACATTTGGGCGGTGGACATCAGGCGAAAGGGTGGAGACCTTGGACAGGACATGCTGGGCGAGGAGCCGTACTCTGCGATGTGCTCCATGGCCATGGCGGGCAAGGTAACTGCAAGACGTGGAGCATCCTCAGATGGTTCCCCAAACCGGGTGGCCCGCCGCCGGTGAGGGGCAGAGCAGAGCAGACCCTGTGGGGCTTAGAGGACCTGGAGCCCCGGGTTATGGAGGACACGGACAATGACAGCGTGCTCATGCTCCGACAGATGTACCTGACCTCGCTGGCCTACAAGGGGCTAGGTCAGCTAACGGTCCCGCAGGTGGGCTCCTCCTTCTTGGAGCACCCGACGGACCCAATGGAGTGCAGCAAGAGCCGAGCGCAGCGAGGTGCTCATCGATCTGGGTCACACGGGCCTACTCCACCACTCCCTCATCAAGTTTGACGAGTGCCGCCTGGGCCAGGTGGTTGTGAAGTCCACGACATTGTCAACGGACCTTCCCCTTCACCATTGGCATGATCTGCGTTGCAACCACGGGGCTCACCCCAGGGGGGAAAAGCTCAACTCCAGTGACCTCAGCCGGTACCCGGAGCAGATGATGCAGGGTCTCGCAGCGGCCATCCTTTGCCGAGCGGGACCCGTCCTGGAGGCGCTGAGGCCGGGGGGCACGGCGCCCCAGGCGAACCCAACGACCCCCCCGAGGCGGCAGAGGGAACCTTCTCCCAGCACGCCGGGGGACAACAAGCGCCAGTCCCGGAGGCTGAAGGCTGGCCAACAAGCGTTGGCAGGACTAACCTTGGGCTCACTTCCGGTCTCGGCCTCGGACAATCCGGAGGTCCGGACACCGACACAGAGGACTGGCGAGACGGACGAACTTGGGGGGGGAACTCTTTCCCCTGAGCCATGGGCACACCATGGCATGGAGATCTCGGATCGGCCCACCATCCTGCCGATCACGCACGACCCCAATCTCTCCGACAAGGTCATGTACCTCCAGATGGCCTTCAAACAGCGCCCCCTAAGGGACGGAGGAGGAAAGCCCTCATTGGGACGGTTGGCCCCATGGACCCGGCCACTGTCCAAAGCAGCAGCGATGGGGGCCAAGATCTGTGTCCTCACTTCGCCATGGGAGTCGCTCTCGTTGGGGGATGGGTCACATCCCTTCCCGGAGGACCTGCTGGAGGATATCAGGGAGATTCTGGCGCTGGGGGCAGGCCGACCAGCTGACGGCCAACCCTTCTTCCTGGACATCTTGCACAGCGTGGCGCTGAACATTCAGGACCCCGACCACCAGTTTCCCCAGGATCTGGAGCAAGGGGTCCCACTGGGGGTCACGGACCCACCCCTGACCTCGCCGGGCATCTGGCCACTCAAGAAGGAGCTGAAAGGGGAGGAGCCGGAGTTCCAGCAACTCCCTCACCCAACGGGCAGGGGTAACTACCCCTCGGCGGATCACTTCAGCGAGCTCATCCGGGGCACATTTCTGGAGGAGGTCCCCATGGGCATGGTGGAGGGCCCCTTCAGTAAGGTGGAGGCAGCATCGCGCTGTGGCTGTGAAATCGAGGACCTTTGTCCCGGCCCCCTAGCGGGCATCGACGAGGGGGACAAGATCCGCACGATCTACGATGGCTCGGTGGGAGGGGCCAATGACACCATCAGGAACCAGACGGTGGAAAGGACGACGGCTCCGACGGTGCTGGATGGGGTCCAAGCTCTTCATTGGCTACATGCGGCAGCTGCGGAGGGACCCCCCTCTCAGGGTGCCCCTGGCCCCGAGAGGGGGGTCGTCAAACCTCCACCTGCTATGGCCGGAGCCGGGCACGAGGTGGGTGCTGCTCAAGGCGGACGTCACCAAGGCCCACCGGAGAGTGAAGGTCCTCAGGAAGGACTGGCGGTTCCAGGTGGCCTCACTGGGGGAAGAATGGTGGGTGAACAAGGTAGGCACATATGGCATGGCCAGTGCCCAATCCTACTGGGGACGCCTGGCAGCCCTTCTACTCAGGGTCCTCTACGCACTTTTCCCTCAAGTGGATTGGAACTTCGTCTTTGTCGATGACTTCCTGTGGCTGCTTCGAAGCGAGGGGGCAGTAAACTTGGCGGTGGCGCTGCTGGCAACACTCCTGGCCTTGGGCACCCCGCTTAGCTGGAAGAAGACGCATTTGGCGGAGGTTAACACGTGGCTGGGTTTCGTGGTCCACCCGAACATCCCGCAGGTTCTCATGGCAGCCAACAAACACATCCTGGTTATGGAGGTTTTGCAGACCATGGTGGAAGGGCAGGCGATGCACTCAAAGGACATCGAGAAGGCCCTGGGTCGCATCCAATGGGCGACGGCTGCATGTCCGCTGGCGAAGTCGATGCTCCAGCCACTTTGGGCCTGGAAGATGGCCACCACCACGGTGGGGAAACCCCCCAAGGTGGTCAGGATGCTGGCGTTCATGCTGCGGTTCCTCTTCAACACGCCTTTCGTCCAGTACTCCCCTTACTTGCCGAAGTCCTCTTGGTGGGGTTGCAGCGATGCTAGCGCCTCGGACGAAGGACTGGCATTTGTGGGAGGTTGGTGCTCCAACAAAGTGGAGCCGGAAAAGAAGGAGGTGTACTGGTTCCACGAGCAGATCCACGTGGAGGAGTACCCTTGGGCTTTCAAGAATGGGGATCCCAAGCGGAGGATTGCGGCTCTGGAGATGCTGGGCACGCTCTTCCTCTGTAACATGATCCTCACGCACCAAGGCCCTCTGTCCTCCCGGGTCCGACTCCCGGTGGGCAGTGACAATCAGGGCAACGTCATGGCGATGCTCAACCTTGGATCCAAGAAGCCCTACACGGCGGCGATCCTGATGGAGCTGGTCTTCCTGCTCCACACCCATGGCTGCTCGCTGGCGGCCAACCACGTGCCCCGTGAATTCAATCAATGGGCTGATGAGCTGACGCACCCAGATTTCTCTGGGTTCGACCCTTTGCAAAGGGTCCCCAAGCAGGAACTCTGCGAGGAGTTCGTTTTTCTCCCGCGTCTCCTGAATGGAGATGCATTTGATCTTAGCGTGGGCCCACCCATGCTCCCGTGACCGGAGCCGGTGGGCGACTCACTTCCCCTGGTGGCAGACCCCCCTGTGGCCTGGGTGCCACGGGCCCCGGCTCAGGGGCGGGCGCTATCAGTCTGCACACCCGTTCTTCAGTTTTTGAGATTGTGAGTTGGGTGGCCCATGGGGCCCACCCAGCCTTTGTCATCTGACAGGGGAAGATGAGTCCCTGGCACCAACACACTGCTCGGATAAAAGAGTTATCGCGTGCTTGTGTGTGGTGCCGTTTGGTTAGCTTGCATACACAAAGAAAAAGAAAAGAAAGACGCACCCATTTTCCGCACCTTCGTTTTAGTCTGCAGGCCCCAGGTGTCCGTTGCAATCCCGTTCATCGGCTGCAGTGACCGCTTCATCCGCGGTGATCCCATTAACTTTGGCGTCCATATATGGACCGAGTTTGTGCATGTCCATTTGGGGAGCGTACGTGGGTCCCAAGGAGTTGGCTTTGAAAGGCAAGCCCAAAGGGAGCATTTATTGGGTTCCCTTTACGGAACTTGCATGTGCCTTGAACATGGACACCCCAGTGTTTCCATCAGGGCAACCTGCATGAAGCCCGCGCCATGGTTGTAGTCTGCACCGATCATAGCATATTGTTGGCCTCCGCCGCAGCATGTGGAGCTGCGCCGTGTTTGTTATTTTGCCTTGAAGGAGGCCCTTCAACCAACCATGAACCCATCATGTTTAACCTGGAGTCAAACCCTGAACTACAGATGATAGGCTAAATTATAGGATCAAACAAACATCAAAGCCTACATCAGCCCTCACCCCGGCAAATCAGCTCCTTGATCAATACTAGACCCACCCCAGCCCCTTTCATGAGCCTCCAGGTGCTCTTCCGCGATGATGCCCCGTTGGCGGCTCTGTCCCTCGAAGGGCGGCTTGGCCTTCCGGAACGAGCTGTGGCGCAAATTTGGTCATTGGTTCACTGGCATTGTTTTGCCCTGAGCGCTGGGCTGGGGTGGGCCGGTGGGCCGCAAAGGAACAGCTTGCTTGTCATACTGCGGGGGTGGGAAGTTGGCCTGAAATTCGGAGTTTGAGTCTTGAAGGCATGATGAACCTGGGTAGATTCTACCGCAAACTACTTGGTGTACGTTGAACATAGCTTCGGTTGAAATGTGCAGGTCGCAAGCTGCGAGGATCGGAGCTGTTTTCCTGAAATTCCATCCGCCACAATTGCTTTTTAACGCTTGCAATGAGGGTTCCTCAGCTGGTTTCAGCCCTCAGCTTCCCCCAACCACACCCCACTTACCCGGCCCCCCCCGCAAACCCAACCCCAGACCCCGGCGCGCGGGGTCGCGCACCGGCGCACCGGCGCGGCTGAGGAGCTGCGTCTGGGCGAAGGTGGGCAACAGCTTGGAGGTGGAGGTTACCTGTCAGTCCATGGAGATCCAGGCAGCTTCCTCGGAGATGGGGGCGGGTTGGGGAGCATTTGTGGAGTCGAAATGTAGTGCGCCATGTTGTATAGTTGGGTTTCACGTTGTTTTCCTTGGAACATCATCGAAAACGGCCACGGGACAACCCCAGACTTTCAGGAAGCTAAAAGAAGCCGGGTTCCGGGAGCATGGGTTGGGCACTAAGTTCGGCATTTCGGCGCCCAAGAGTCTTTGGAGGGTCAGTAAAGTCCGAGAGCAGGCTACCTTTTGTTGCTTGTGCTCAGAAGGGAATGAGGAAATGACCGGGCACTGGCAAGTAGTGTTTCATGCGGGCCAGGACCGCAGGAAGCAGTCCAGGAATGCCGACAAGTCGGCCGGCGCCTCAGCCGAGCGGAGGGACTTAGGTTTTGCCCTGCGCGGGGCTTGCGAGCTGCACTCCGAAGCAGTTAGAGGCTAGCGCGACAGGCGAAGCCCAGCGCTTGGACGCCGCACTTTCGCGTGCCGCATATCTGACCTCGTGGCTACAGTGCAGTGGTCATGAGTATGGTCAGTTGGCGCTGGATTGCTGTGTTCATGCTCTGAGATGACTCATTTTTGCATCACCAGCGGGGTCCCAAACCAAACTGATTCCGCAAGTTGGCAGTTTGGCGGTTCGGCTCCTACCTGGTTTTATGGGGGCATTATGCTTTAACCAGTATGAGCACGTTGGTAAAAAGCCAACAGTTTTGAGCTTTGCTCACCTGTTGTGCAAAACTTAAGAGAACAACTCAATTTTCGTAACCACGCGTGGTTGGGATCATCTCGTCGCAGGGGCCAAGCTCCATGCCTCGTGCAAGCTAGGTGTCAAGTGGCCTCTTGGATTGAGCCCCAGGAAAGCGTTCACTAAAGTCTGCCTTCGGAACTATTTTTTGCGCCCAATTTGAGCTTTGCAGAAAGTCAATGGGAATTCCGACTGCAGCGACCGCGGTCTGGGGCGTGGGACTGCGCCGAAAACAAGCTAAAGTTTGCCTCACAGGACACCCGCGTGGCTCTCACAAATTGGATTCTGTGTAACTTCATGTAAGAAAGCCAATGCTTCGAAGTTTTTTCCTAAACATTGATGAACATGTCCAGTGTCCTTGCCCTTTCCTCCACATCCCTAGACCTTGGGAGGTGTCTTTTTCCCCCCAATAAACACCAGGCGCTCTCAATCTTGCGATGTTCAACATCCGCCCCCTCTCCCCCCCGAGCCCTTCTCCCCCTTCCACCCCCTCCACCGCATCATCCGGCCATCCGCCCCGACCATCCGACCGACCATGGCGTGGTTGGGTTCGTCAGGTGAGTCACAATCAAAACCCGGGCAAGTGAAGGTTAGTAATCCGCCTTCGAAAATTCTTCTGGGTAGACCATTTTAATACCGGGTTTTGATTCTGACTCAGGTGCTGGCGGGCCGGGACCTGCGGCTGACCTACCGGCGGGAGCCGCCGATGCGCTCGGCCCTCGCGGTGCGCCTCGGGGAGGCGCAGCTGCAGGCGGGGGACGGGGAGGGGGGGGGGGGGGGCGTTGGGGGCTGTGGAGGGGTGGGGGAGGGGGGATTGGGGGGGGATTGGGGGGGGGTTTGGGGTGTTGGGGGGCTTTGGAGGGCTGGGGGAAAATGGGAGGTCGAGGTGTTGGGCTTGTCATTGTTTTTTTTTGAACTTTGGCTGGGGCAACGAAGGATGAAGGGGGCTCCTGAACAAGGGGAGGCATCCTGGCAAATGGTTGATTTGTTTTCCAAAAACGGTTTATAACTTGTTTGAAGGTGGATAGTAATTGGATATGAAGTGTAGGTCTTCCTTTTTGTAAGGTTGAGCTGATGTTCCCTGCACATGTATTTTTGCGGTGGCAGGTTCCCTGAGTTTCCCGCCGGCGTCCTTGTTCAAGGTACTGGTACCCTTTTGCGGGTTGGTCTGAAGGGAACCCAAAATCGCTTTCTCAGGAGTCCCTCGATGTTGCCTTTTTCAAAGGGCAAGTGTGAGGATTCGTGGCTTGCTGTGATTCCCTTTGTTAAGGGCAATATTCAGCAGGCTGTGTGTCCGTTTTTTGCCAATTTGCTGGACGTTTGTTTGCTGTTAGTCAGTAAGGAACTCGTGGGAGTTGCGAGGATCTTGTGGATGGCTCCAAACACGTTTCCGCTTAGGATTTCAAGGATGGCTTTCTCTTCACTTGATGTGGTGATATTGCAAAGGGGACGATACGAGGAACGCCCAGCACAAGAGGAGGCCTGAAGCAGAATGTTGACCCCATATCCATCAACCCTGTTTGTTCATAGGGGGGGTCGCTAGGTTAAGTGGGGAATCATCACTTTTAGAGGGGAATACCCCCTATTTATAAACGGGCTAGAATGGGGTCAACATAAAATACGGCACGCAAAGGGCAAGAAGGTGTTTGACAGGAATGCTGAGGGCACGGCCCTTCAAGCTTGTGTGATCAACCCACGGCGAAACATCTTTGAGAGGGGAGAAAAGGGTGGAAAGGGGTATAACGGACGAGAGCGGAAGGCAGAGCAATGATGATTAGTGCCGCAATGATGATTAGTCGGCATGTTACTCGTGTGTGTGTGTGTGTGTGTGCGCGTGTGTCTGTGTGTCACAGAGATTGCATTGAATCTATCAACAAACATGCCCAGGAATAAACGAAGCATTTGCCTCGCTTCAATGATATCAATCTTGTGTGTAATGGTTACCCCTGAGTAGTAACCCCCCACCCCCCCTCCTTCAAGGTCGACAAGGTTTGACAAGGCCCCAACAGTGAGTGCTTTTGGAGGACCCCCCTGATGATTTGGAGACATCTCGGTCCTCATCCTGTTATTTCTGGCCCCTTCTTGGCAATAAGACTTTGAAAGGCAACATCAGTTGCTTTTGGTTTGGAGGTCCAAAAGGGCCCTGATTCGTCGCGGGGGTCTTCTGTTAATGAGGGGGGCTGGTCTTCAAGCGGGGGCCCCCTTTGTGAGTCTGAAAACAGTGTCAGTTTATACACAATTTACTAAAGACAAATCCATTTTTTGGGGAAGCACGTCTTTGGGGAGAACTTGAGGGCGAGGGTTTGATAGTGACTTGGTGTTGATGGTTTAAGCAGAAGGAAAGCCCCTTTTCTGGCAGGTTTTTTGGGCTTGGGGGCTGCAGGGGAATACCTTCAATCAGGGGGAGAGGGGGAGGGTTTTTGAGGCCCGAAAAATATTGGGTAGGGATTTTGGGGCAAACCTTGCTGTAGTACTGGTGCGAATCTGGGAGGAAAAAGGGGACACCTTTTATCGCGGGGGTGGGGGGTTTACTAATCTCGCGCTGACATTCTGAGGCTCAAATTTTGTGTCCATAGAACCACACAGCATGCACTACACAGGTCAAGCTTTCGGGTTCGCCAAAAGCGTTCCAAGCTCACGCCGAGGTTTCTCTCGTGTTTTGCTGTGGCGCTTGAAGCTGAACAATTGGTTCCCGAAATGGGGGTCAAAACAAAGGACCCTTTGTGGACTGGTAACTTTTTGGGCCGCCTTATGGGGTGCTTGGCTTTTGACACTCCCCAATTACGCATGCGTCCGATTCGGTAGATGTAAGTAGGACACAAGGTAACAGAGGCCCCGTTTTTTTTTCGCGCACCAGCCACAAAGAATGGATGAACAATGGGTGTTCTTGTTGGGTTTCTTGGAACATGTAAGCGACAGTTCGCCACAGCTTCTCTTGAATCCCGTGTCTCTGATTTTGGGTGGGCAAATCCTTGGCGACGGATTCTGACTCCGATTTTTCTCCAACCCATATTCTCATATAGCATCCTTGATGGTATCAGGACTCCTTCACCTCAAATTTGTCCGGGAGGGAGCCCAAATAAGCCCTGAATAAGGCCTTAATAAGGGCTAAATGAGAGTATTTTGGGCCCCCTCCCCGCCCTCCCCCCCAGCCTGTTTGGGGGACGTCCCTCCCCTGTCGCCTCCCACGCACCTCCCCCTCCCCCCCGGGCCATCAGTAGGTGCTGCCGCAGCTCTTCATGGACCTGACCACCTGGGGCATCGCGGCCTGGCAGCTCTGCAGCTGGCAGCCCAGGATTTCGAGGTTCGGCGGATCGGCGGGGCCGGGCTGGGGGTGGGTGGAGGTGGAGGGTGGAGGTGGTGAGTGGAGGGTGGAGGTGGTGGGTGGAGGTGGTGGGTTGAGGTGATAAGAGGGTGTTAGTGGATTTTGGAGGTGGTAGGTGGGGAGGGTGGTGGTTGGGCCAGCGGCTGGGCGGTTGTTTGAGGCGGTTTTTTGGTGGAGTGGCTTGGATTCCCTTCTTGGTTTTGAGGGGCGGTGTTGGAGGGCCATTGGGTTTCGGGATTATTGTTTTTGGGAAGTCCCTCCTTTGCTTGTTTGTTTTTATTGGCGTGCGGGAGGGCCTAGCGGCTAGGGAAAGAGGCTAAGCAGGCTAAGCTTCTGGTTTTCGTGGGGACTTGAGGTGGGCATGGCTCTGAAGGCCATTGGGCTGGGGACAGACGATCCGCGGAGAATGGACATTGATCAACCCTTGTGGACTGAACTCTTCATTGTTGATTGGCTAGGTTCCCCAGTAGTGCCCTTTTGGCCTGTTTTGGAGGAGGGTTCCCCTACTAAAATAGACTACAGAAAAAGGGTACCCTTATACTAACCTGTCTACTGGAGGACCTAGTTGGAGAGTTCCTTGATCAGTTGAACAGAAAGAACACGGCTGCAATGGGCGAATATCCTGCGGACTTTTGCGCACCCCAAAAGAGGACACCTAACAGGACCTGAGGTTTGTTGAGGGATTCCAGCCTTTTGAGGGGGCCTGTGGCACCATAAGAAGCCGACAGAACCCGAGCACGTCAGAAGCACAAACATGATCATGTATGTGAAGAATTTGATCGGTCAATATGGGGTTTTACATCCATTGCATCCGCAGTGTGGCTGTTCAAGCGTGAAAATGTGCGAGCAGCGCACTTGGACGGTTTGTTGTTTCCTTTTGGGCCCCAAACCGGTAACCCTTGAATCTATAGGTTATCAGCCGTAGGCCCCTAGCTTTAAGCAATGGACGGTTCCCTTGTGCCAGTTGATGGATCCAACATGCCTGTGGATGCTGCCGGAGCTAGCTCCGACAACGCCACCGGCGGCGGTGTGCGAATGTTCGCATCAAGCGCTAATGCGCAGTACAACCGCACCCTGATGAATTCCCTTCAACTGTACAACACCGCAATCTTTGCTTTTGGGAATGATGCAGCCATTAGGTCCGAAGCCGAAGCCCTGCATCAAGCAGCTGTCACGCATTTGCAAGCGGAAAACCGTGAGGAGCTCCGTGTCGCACAGAATCAGCTGCATGCACACTATGCTGAATGTGTGCAAGCCCAGTCGCATAGAATTCGTGAATACGAACAGCGAGTGAGCGATGAGTTCATTCAAGAAGTGAACTTCGCTGAAGCTAGGATAAGCCAAGTGTGTGAGGAAAATGCCCAAGCATTGCATGAAGCGGAAATGGGACACAAAACAACTGAGTTTAGGCAAGCCATCGAATCCACCCTGGCGGAAGCCCAGCAGCTCCTCCATGAGCAAGCTGCCAAGCACGCTGATGACACAGCCCGTGTCGAAGCGAAAAACGCCAGGACGATTGACATGATGGCCCATCAAAACGGGCTTCTGCAGGACGAGCTCGATGAGCTGAAGAAGTATCAGAAGCAACACGACCTCCGCGAGGATGGATCGAAGCCCAAAGGGGTAGGTGATACCCGGGAGGATTCACCAGAGCTGATGACCGACGACATGAAGTCAGCTCGGTCCCAAAGGTCAATGTTGGACCCGTTGACCCATCCGTTTCAATATGCAAAGGAAAAGTTGAGGTCGCTTGTTACCTATGACGGTTACGGGGATGAATATACCCCTAGCGTGATTCCAACTGCCGAATGCGAAGCACTGCCCGCAGATGCTCGCGATCCGCAAGGACCAGCTGAAAAGCCATCAGGTAGCAGCCGATCCCCGGTGAAAACAAGTGCACCGGTCCCACCCCTGCAATTCTCTCAGGGGCCAATGTCAACTGACCGCAAGCAGGGTGGTAAGCCTCCTGGCGGTCCGCCACCTGATGATGATGGCGATGGCGATGGTGATGAAGACGAAGGTGATGGCCTCGGGCCTAACCTCGGCAATGAAGCATTCGCCAAGATGTTGATGAAGTTAGTAAAAGGCCAAACGAACGATGAAAGCCCAGAACCCGCGAAAGCGAGACGTTGCGATTCAAGGAGATGCCAACTCCTGAAACGTACCGTGAATGGAAAACATCGGTTCGTGAGGATGTCCGCGCCGCATCTGATCGTCCAGACGAGGCTTGGCCTTGGATCATGGAAGTCTGGTCCGATCGCGAGGACAAGAAGAAGCTGTTGGAGGAGCTCGGCGAACCGGGGAAATTCGTGACCCCAGACACGAAGATTCTCGCAGCGCTCACGCGTTCAGCGAAAGGCGATCTGGCTCAGCGAATCCTAACAGCAAAGGAAGAATGTGCCAAGGAGGGAAAGGCCATGAGAGGAAGGCAGGTCTTGTTTATGTTTGACCAATATTTCAAGACCAGTGAAGAAGCCGGAAACCTCTACTCCTTGGAGGACCTGTTGCGTGTCTCGCGACACGGCGAAGGAATCATTGATCTCAAACGTTTCCTAAACGCTTGGGATTCCGTGATCGCCGGCATGAAAAGGCCGCCGGAAGAAAAGGTGTTGAAAGACATCTTGCTTCGCCAAGTGAGAAGCTGCCATCTGTTGCGGTACGACATTGACACATATGATCGTTGCCGTGATGATGATCCCAACAAATCGTACGATTTCCTAATGCGTTGCATGAGGGATCTAATCGAGAGGGATAGGCTTCGCGAGAACCGAGAGCGCGTGTCCAAAGTCAATGCCAGTAAAGCCCCGACGCCCAAGGCTGGTGCCGCCGCCCCTGAAAAGAGGGACCCCAAGAAAAAGAGCGCACCTAAGCCGAAGGACACCGAGGAAAAGTACTGCTTTGACTTCCAGAAGGGCTCGTGCACGAGGGGGGCAAACTGCCCTTACGCGCACCGCAAGGAGCCGCGAGGACGCTCCGCGACCCGCGGCAGGCCAAGTTCCCCCAAAGGCGGTAAAGGAGAGAAAGCACCGTGTTCTTTCTTTGCCCAAGGGAAGTGCACTAGAGGTGACAAATGCAAGTTTAGCCATGCCTCCACGGGCGGCAAATCTGCCGCTGCGGCATCGAGCAACGAGGCCAACGCAAATCCTGCGGCCAAGAAGCGTGCAAATTCGCCTAAGCCTAAGCCCAAGGCCAAGGCCGCCGCAGTATGCACTAGGTACGCCATGTTTGCCAAGCCGATCAATCCCATTGGGGTGTCGTTTGACACCAATGCTCATGTGCATGAGATCCCCGCCGAAGGCGACGGTTTCAAGCTTGAGTACGAGGAACGGCAGTATAACAGGATGTTTCCAAATGCTAAGGACTGCCCTAGGCCGACCAAAGGGACTAACAAGGCAGCGCGCAAGGCCGCGAACCAGTTGAGTGCCGTAATCAAAGCCATTGAGAATGGAGCCCAGCCCGCTTGTGGTTTCATGTGCGATGTGGAATCCGATTCCATCTCAAGCCTATCGTGTGATGAGTGCCTGAGAATTGCCATGCCGCCTCACGATGTTCGCAAGGATGTCGAAGCGCCAAGGGCAGCCACCCCTGCACCAAAGGGAAAGGACGTGTGGCTTATTGATTCCGGTAGTGAGCAGGACCTCATCAGCAAAGCTGCACTGAGGAATGCGTCCAAGGCAATTCGGAAACAGGCACCTCAGCCTATTCGCCTTGTGACTGCAAACGGAAACATTACTGCTTCCGAAATCGCCGACATCAATGTCGATGCATTGTGTGAGCCTGCTCAGCCTTACATCCTCGAGAGTTCTCCCGCAGTGCTGTCGCTGGGTGTGAAGTGTCTGGATCAAGGATATTCCTTCCATTGGGAATCCGGGAAGGCGCCAACTATGGTTCGCCCTGATGGTGCTCTGATCCAGCTCAAGGTTGATGGTCATGTGCCATACATGGATTCCAGCTGTGAAGCTGAGCCATCGTTGAGTGCAGTAGCAGCATCCAAGCCAGCGCCTGCACTGGTTCATGACGAAGGCATCGACGAAGGTGATGATCCCGACGACGAAGTTGAGCGGTTTGTTAGATCCCGCAAAGAGCAAGATCTGGTTGCCGAAGCGAGTACCAAAGAGCACTTGTTTGCACACTATCCGAAGAATCCCTTTTGCCGCACTTGCCAACGTGCCAAGATGCTTGCCCCATATGCAAGATCGAAGGGCGGGCAGGGAAGGCTCGAGACGAAAGCGTTTGGAGATCACATCATTGCTGATCATGTGATTCTCAAGGCCAACATTGAGCAAGGTATCAAAGGTGAATGGTGTGCTCTTGTAATCAAGGACGTGCATACGCAGTTCAGGTACGTTTACCCATCGACCAGCAAAAGCACGGAGCAATCCGTTGCAGGGATCCAGCATTTCATTTCCGGTAGGGATGAGGTTGAAGTTCTCTACACTGACAACTCCCGGGAATTGAAAGCCGCAATAGAGCAGTTGGGGTACCGTCATCAGACCTCCATTGAATATGTTGATTCTTCCAAATCTTTCGTGGAAAGGGAAATCAGACATCTGTTGGAGGGAGCACGTGCGAACCTTGTTCAGTCAGGGTTCCCACTGTCGATGTGGCCATTTGCTATCCAGCACAATGCAGTTGCGACCAACATCCTGCCACAGTTGAATGGAAACGATTCGCCATGGTACCTCAGGTTTAACAAGACCTTTGATGAAGCTGAGATACCTTTTGGAGCAAAGGTACTGTTCTGGAACAACCCTGCACGAGCTGACAATCAGGCAGGCAAGACTTCGCCAACATCAAATGAAGGCGTGTTTCTCGGGTACCACATACAGCCTGGGTTCGCATGGAAAGGCGAGTTCCTTGTTGCAAAACTAGCAGGGCTCGATTACCATATCGAACATGCGTCCCTCACGGTACAGCGAACAAAGCGCATTGAGCTTCCGACTGATGAGTTCATCTTCCCGATGAGGTTGTTGAAAGAC